CTGCCGTTTGGCTCGCGGTTCTAAGACACTCTCCCTGTTCAGAGGTTTGTGGGAGGCTGAAGCCTCCCTGCCACCTGGTTCACAGAAAAGGACCCACTTGGGAAAGGCTCGGGGCCTCCAGGGGGTGCAGGCTGCCTGGGGTGGGACCCGTGGGCTCGCCCCCTCTCGTTAATTGCTTGGCATCTGGGCAGTTCCTTGACTGACCCACACCTCCTAGTCCCCATCCCTAAAATGGAAGGAAATGCATGCAGCGTGTGTACCAGGTGCTGGCTGTGTCAGTGAGCGGATTGTATGGACGGGTGGAGGCCTCTGAGCCCTTAACCCGTGCAGCGCTGACCGTCATTGCTGGATGAATTGTTTGGAATGAAACGTGGAAGCGTGCCTCACCAAACGAGGAGAACCAGCTTCGGTTCTCCAGCTTTGTGTTGAGCAACAGTATTGCCAAACAACTAAAATTCAAGGTTCTAATTTGGCAGATTTTCTCCAGTGCCTAATTGGAGCCGGACCCAGAGCCGATCACTGAGCCAAAACTGTAAACTGAACTGCAGGACCGGGCCCGGAGCGTGGCGCTGACAGGAATGGCACGGAACCACAGCACAGATGAGACAGTGCAAGTGTAGGTGCCCCCACTGCCCTTCGTGGAGAGGACCTGTTGGCTCGTGGACTTTGAAAGGTTCTGATCTGCTTTCGCCCCTAACGTAGCCATTCCAATTTTGCATTTGCCAGGAATTTAAAATTAAATCATGCAGCTCTATGGAACAAAGGGAAGAGCAGAACCTTAACATGAAACTCCTTGCGGTCCAGTTTGTTTTACGAAAGTCAAATTTGTGATACTGTTTATTAAAAGCAATGGTTTTGTAAGCAAGCAAGATCATTGCCGCCTGTGTGACTGTGCAGTGTCCCTAGTTGTCGCTGCGTCTCCCCTCCCCTTTGTCTGCAGGTGACTCCAGACCCAGGAGGATGAGCAGTGGTCCCCCGAGGACTGCTTCCTCCTAGCTGACGGATGGAAGGAGGCAGCCCCTGCGAGCCTCCCTGTTGGGCTGCTGACCCAGAGAGCGGTGTTGGTCACACCAGGCGTGAGCCCACGTCCCCTGCCAGAGACGATCACAGCCGCGTCCAGGGGGTCATCTTTTCTTCCTCACCGATTTTAGACTTGAGTCAAAGAGGTCTTCACCACTTAGGAGAGATCTTTAACATCCCCAGCCTCAAAGTAAGTGGGGCGTTCCTCCAGGCCTGTGCACACTGCCATGTGGACGTGAGCGAAGGCTTGTTTCACTTGTGGGTTTTTTTTTTAGGTAGAGAAATTCTAGAATGGGGCAGAGGGTCATCTTGGGGTTTCCTGCACTGCTCACAACAAAATGAGAAATTCAGGCACAGAAAATGCCTTGTGGGGTCAGATTCCAGTGTCCTGTCTCGGGAACTTCTGAAGACCAGAAAGCCCACGGTGGAAACTTGCTGGAAACACCCTTGGTCTCTTATTCAAAACACAAGACCCCTAAAAAAATGCAGCATTAAGACAGTTAAAGGCCATTTCTCACTACGTCTTTGCATATGTCACCTGCTCAGTTCTCCCTTGTGCCCTCGCCGGGTCGGGCCCTCGCCTGCTTGAGACCTAGTGGGTACCGTCTCGCCTGTGATTTCTAGAATGAAGTTCCGTCGGGGCGCGGCTTTGACAGAGACAGTCGGGCTCCCTCCCTGTGCGAGAGTCACGCAGTTCCCTCAAACCTCGTTTGTCTTCATTTGGAAGATAGGGATGAGGGTATTTCCATGGTTATTGTACGAACTAATGCGTATAAAGCAGTGGCCACAGCACGGGACACACCCCACACGTTGCACTGCTGCCCTGTCGAGTGACAAGTGTGAGTGGTTTTACAAAAGCCGTGTACTTAGATTTTAAGTGGGTACCTGGTTTACTAAGCCCGGTCCTGTGCTCCCGCCCCGTCTCGCTGTCCTTTCCTGAGCACTCCCCTGCACAGGTGGTTACCGGTCACCCTGTAACGCGCCACTTGTAATGAGGCAGATGCTCAGCTCCAAATGCGGAACCCAGCAGGGCTGTGAGGCTCACAGTACCTCAGCCGTAAGGGAGGAAGGGGGAAGCTCCAGAGCCTTCTTCAGGCTTAGTGAAGAAACTTCATAACTGCTTATGCTTCTCAGAAAACAGAGATGTCAGTATAAATCTTGTTACCATGGCGACAAGTCACCAAGGGAGGCGACCACTCAGCCGTGGACTCCAGGGCTTCCGGGTGCACCTGCAGCCAGAGCAGCAGTCTCCCTTAGAATCGCGGAGCACAGGCCCCCACCTTGACGTGGCCTCACGGGGCCGAGGAGGAAGGCTGGGCTGCCAGATGCAGTCAGACCAGCTCCTCCGTGAGGACCAGTGCCATCTCACTGTTCTGAGATCCCTTTTCTGGGATTTTGGGGGACCTGTGGCTTCACTGCTGAGCCTGGAGAGAGAGAGAGCAGCCTCGAGGCTGCGCCGCATCCGGAACTGCCACGTTACTTCCCGGTGGCTGCACCGGCCGCGAGCAGGGAGCGACGGTGCCCTGGTCCTAGCTGATTCAAGACTGTGTTGTCAGTGGACTTAGGGAGGGTGGCTTCTAGCTGGTGTTCCTCAAGTTTCTGCTTCAAACTTGGAGGGACTTGGAAGGTGGTGTGGGCAGCAGAGCTGGGAGCCGAGAAGCTGTGACAGCAGAGTGGCAGCCCGGCGGGGCTCTGCCTGCTCCGTGGTCTTTGCCAGAGCAGCGCTGCTTGCCTGGCACACCCTGCCATGTGGGTCCCATGACCCATTTTACCAGCGAGGATGCCAGAGAACAGAGAGGTCACACAGCCCATAGTTTTCAGACACTGGATTTGAACCCAGGCAGCTTGGCTCCCAGGCCAGGGCTCTTAATGTCTGCGCTCTGCTGCCTGGGTAAAGACAGACGTACAGATATGTACACATGTACAGTATACATGGTGATGCAGATGTATGCAAACTACCACAGCAGCATCAGAGGAGAGTTTTGTGTCCTCGCGGCCCTGCTGCACTGACGTGAAATCCCAGCTGTGCATCCTCAGACGGCATCCTGTCCTCTGCCCTTCCTTCCTGTTCTGCCTTCTAATGGCGGGGACCTGGGCCTGTTGCGTCGGCTCCCTGAAGTGATGGCTCCTGGCCGTTTATCACAGGTGGTGCGTTTCCCAGTCGGGCCGAAGGGCCGCGGACACGAGTGTGGGGCCAGGAAGGGAAACAGGATTCAAACAGACTCTGGGACTAAGTTTGCTGCTAAAGGATGTTCAGTAGAAAAGGTTGACGTGCTCAGCGGGGGCGTCTGATCCGCCACCCAGAGAGAAACAGCATGTCCAGTCGGGGGTCCCTCCAGACACCACACCGTGGGGCCTGGCCTCATCTCCCTGACTCTCCTGTTTCCTGTTTAAACGATTCAAGGGTAAATGTTGTGGGTTTGCTTTTAACTTCATAGTACGATTGCAGTCACTAGTAGTTTTTTTGGAAATGCCTTGAGGATACATCATGTTTTAAAGTTGTTGGTTGACAAAAACGTTCTCTTTTTTTTCCCCCGGAAGCAATTGCATCTTCAAGGAAATGCCCTCAGCACGATTCCTAGAGACTTCTTCCAGCTGCTGCCAAACCTCACTTGGCTAGACCTCCGCCACAATCGAGTCACAGCGCTTCCGCCCGGGATTGGCCGTCACCGGTGAGTTGTGCGCTTGCCTTTCTGGGGGAAGAAGCCATCCTCACTCCCTCAGGAGGCGGCCCTCCAGTGCCCCGTCCTTGTATGGCTGTTTCTTAACCTTTAGGAAACCTGGTACGAATTTCAGAGCCTCCTTCAATGACACCGTGTTCTGGGCAGAGGCAGGGCACAGGAGAGGCCCTCCGGTGGGCCTGTGCTTGGCGAGGCGGGGGCAGCGAGGAGGAGGCGGGGGATGGAGCGGGGGTGGGGGGTTAGAGGTGCGATGAGGGAGGGGTCGCCGGAGCTCGCAGGCTGCTCTTGTCAGCATGGCTGCCGTTTTGGATTTTTATCCTGAACTAGGCAGGAAGGCGCAGAGGGTTTGGACGGAGGGGGTGGAATTTGACCTGGCTTTGAGGTCACTCTGAGCGGAGGGGTCAGAGTGGCCACGGGGAGGCCAGTTTGGAGGCCACCTTGGCCTCCGAGCAGGGGAGCTGCTGGGGTTCAGGGTGGGTGTAGGCTTGGGAGGGAGGGGGTTGTCTAAGGTGACCCCCGTGGAGCAGCAGAGTCGGGGCTGTGGAAGGCCCTTCATTTGGCTGGACTGAAGCTCACTGTTTTTAAAAGTATTTTTTAAGAAGTGAGTATTTCATCGCATGTAACAGTAAGAGAAAAATCTCCGTGAACCATTTGTGCATTTTCCAGCCCTACAAGGAAGCAGCTGATTTCTGTAGGCAAGTGGGCACCCTGGCAGGGCGGGAGCAGAGCCAGGAGCTGTCTTCCTGGGGCCCCTGGGCGCCTCGGGGTCCACAGAGCAGGCCTCCTGTGGTGGGAGGGGTGGTCCCGACCAAGCGGGGCGCGTCTGCTGAGCCCCGCCCGCCAGCAGCTGCGTGACGGTGGCTGTGCCCTCTCTGGGCCTGCCTCTGCCGAGTGCCCAGCGCGCCCGTGTGCAGGGCAGGTGGCTGGGGAGGCTCTGCTCTGCAAGGGTCGTCGTCTGCTGCCTTGGGAGCAGTTCAGTGCGTTTGGTCCGCGCTGTTTTAGCTCTGGCACTCCGGCCCGGACAGTGGTTGCTACTAAGGGGTAAATATAAAGGAGCGTATGTTCTCGTGGGCACTGTTCTTCCTCCTAAAATAAATACATGGTCTCAGATTTTGGAATTCTTTGATTTTGCCCATCAAAGCCAGCTGCTTAATGTTGTCTAAGATGTAATTTCACATGTGGTTTATAAGCCATTATATCATTAAAACCAGATCTGTTTGCTGAAGAGCTGAAACGTACTCATTAGAAATTTTAAGTAATTCTGGGCTTATTAAAAACCTTAAACTTTCCAAAAAGCCTAATGGAAACAATGCTCCCTCTTCTCGGTGTCTTGGATGTGCAAGCTTGCTAGTGGGGAGGGAGGATTAAGGAAAGACCGCCAGTATCTGTGCCTCCTTAGGGAGTCAACTCGAATCCAGTGTGTAGGGGTGTGTGTTCAGTGGGAGTCAGTGAAATGGAATGATCGACGGCTTACTGATAGTATTTAAGGGACCAGCATTTATGGGTTTATCACTTCAAGTGTACATAGTAATATTTTAATCTATTAACTATATAAGGTGGGAAAATGCCCTGTACACTTTCAGGTTAATGGTTGGCCAACATGCCCCCTCCCCTGCCAGCAGACAGACGGGTGGGCTGGAACGTCCTTGGCTTGGAGAAAGGCGTGCGGGGAGGCTGGGGGCACTTGGCTGCCTGCAGACCCTGGCGAAGGCCCTTAGAGGAGCAGGCGCCGACCCCTCCGCTGTCTCTGTTAGCACAGTTAAAAGGGGGCTAAGCCAGGGACAGTGGATGTAACACTGTGTAAATAATTTGCCTTTGTGTTTATCAAGGACAGCTTAATTCACAAAGTTTACTTTTTGAAAACTTCAAGTAATAAGAATCCAAGAAAGTAAAGGGAAGGAAATTCTTTCCCTCAGGGGACCTGGTTTTCCTCGGGCCGCCGATCCATAAGTTAAGCGTAGTTTGAATGCTTACTGGAGCGCTCGACTTTGTGTCTGTGAAATTGTATTTTCTCCTTTCAAATCTCGGGGACGCTGGTGGGCTGTGCTGTTGAATTTTCATTTCTTCCCCTTCCAAGGCATAATGAGCCTGGACGGCCTCTCCCCCAGCCAGAACGTCCCGCGTGGGGGCACTTGTAGGAGGCTGGCTGTGTGCAGCTCTTCCTGAGCCGTGCTTTTTGGGGAAGGAAAGCTGAGGGTGTGGGCCCGAGATACATTCCAGTCCCCCTTTGTTCCCGGTGGTTTCGGGGCCCAGAGGGCCCAGGAGAAGGGAAAAGGCAGGTGGGGGCTTCTCTCTCCAGAGCAGGGGTAAGAGAGGAAGCCACCGTGTCAGGCGAGGCGGGTGTGGGGTGTTGTGGGGAGGCTGTCTCTGGAGATTGAGGGGTGCGGCGTTTGAGGATTCTCCAGTCTGTCGGCAAAGCCTGGGGCGAAGCAGGGCCGGGGAGGGGCCAGGGGCCAGGGTCCTGCCTCTACCTGGGCGCCCCGTGGGAGGGGCCATCCCACCCCAGGCTGAACACCAGGAAGCCAGGTGTCTTTTCACACCTGGTTTTAGCTGGTGATCCCTGAAAGGGAGGGAGAAAGAGAAACAGATCATTAACATGATGGAGTCTCGGAAATGGGAAAAACAAAAGCAGCAGAGTAAGAGGTGCGAGAGGGGCTTTCATGTGAAAGGTTTACCTTCCGTCGTCAGTGGAGGGTTGTTACTGGGTGCCTTCCACCTCGCGGGTGCAGCCCTGGCACGCTGTTTGCTGGAGTTTGTGGTGGATATAGTAGATACAAGTGAAAGAAGAGATCCTCCGTCACGTACTTGGAGAGGCACGCCTTGGACCGCGTTTCCTTTGTGACGTCAGGGGGCGCCCGGCACACACCTCACCTCTCAGCAGGGCGGACGTTCTGCGCAGCAGCAGGTCCCCCAGACGTCCTCACGTCCCTGTTCCCGGACGGGGAGACGGCGCCCCGCGGATGAGCAGCATCTGGAGACCCTGTGGTGCTCACCACTTGGGGAGGGAGCCTCTGGTGGGGTGAGGCCAGGAAGCTGCCAGACGCCCCACAGGGCGTGCCCTCCCCCAGCAAAGAAGTGCTGGTCCCGCGTGTCAGCAGTGCCGAGGCCCAGCCCAGCCCGGAGCAGAGACGAGGCCCTGCCGCGGGCTGTGGAGGCTGGGCGGACGGCTGTGCGCGCGGTGGGGCTGCCCCCAGAGAGACGGCGGATGGAGGAGTCTGACAGCGTGTTTTAGGGATGGCTGTTTGATTTTCTGCTTTTTCAATTACTTGTCTTTTGTTTTGTTTTAAAGGCATCTGAAAACTTTGCTTTTAGAAAGAAATCCTATCAAAATGTTACCTGTGGAGCTGGGTAAGTGTTAAAACAATAAAATAAAAGGTGGTATTAAACGTGGCCTTCTGAAGTTACCCGAGCCTGTAATGGGTCATCGGGCGTGTTGCAGCGGGGAGGCCAGATGACACCTGAACTCCCTGCACACCTGTCCTCCCCAGGCCCTGAGATGACACGGCTCTCCAGGGCCGTTACTGTCACAACACACGTCCTGCGTGCGAGGCGTGGTGTGTACGGGGAACAGGACAGGCGGAGCCCCTGTGCCTGGTGCTCAGGGAAGGTCAGCATCACCTGTACCTCCGTGGGCCCAGGGGTTCCCCTCTCTGCCTCCCTCCCTCCCTGCCTCAGCCAGGTGACTTCTGTTCGTCCTTCTCTGCTTTGAGAGCTTTACCACTTACTGCCCCAAATAAAACGTTTAAAGGTCCTTCATTTTGACCTTTGTCTGAGTTGTGTTGCTCCATTACTCCTGGTGACCTGGCGTTTGGGGCTCAGCACCGAGTTTCTGAGGTTCATCCATGTGGACGTGGGTGCCTGTGGTGTCTTCACTTCTGTTCCTTTCAGGGAGGAGGAGGAAGACGATTCGCTCTGTCCTGCATCAGTTTTGTCTCATCGACTTCAGCTGTCTGTTGTCTCTATGTTCTCGAGACTTGATTTGCTATTCTTCTTTCTAACTTAGATCATTGATTTTAAATTTTCTCTTTTTTTTTCAGTGGGGGTCCTAGGGGTTGAACCCAGAACCTCGTGTGTGCTAAGCACGTGCTCTACCCCTGAACTAGACCCTCCCCCTAGATCGCTGGTTTTCGATCTTTTCTAATCTGTCAGTTGCAACTCTGGCTTCCCTCAGTGCTGCCTGGGCTTCATCCTGAAGTTCCGACGAGCGGTGTTTCCATCATTCAGCTCAGGTGTTTTCTCATGTCCACTGACCTGTGGGCTCTGTAGAAGTTTTGCTTAATTCACTGACGGCGAGCGATGTTCTAGTCTCTCTGCTACTGAGTTCTAACTTGGCACCACGCAGGCTGTGTGGTTCTGGGCATTTGACACTTGCTGGGACTTGCCTTCTGGCCCAGGATGTGTTCTGTCTGGTAAACGGACCTGCACTTGAGAAGGATGTGCGTTCTCAAGTTAACTGCTGTAAAGGTCTGCACATTCGGCTAGGCCAGCTGGCTAAAACAGTGTTCACGTGATCTCGCTTGAGTTTTGTCTGTTTATTTGGTCGGTTACCCGGAGAGGGTGCGCAAGTCCTCCACCGTGGTTGTGCTCTGTCCGCCATTCCTTTTACATCCATCGACTTCGCTTGATATATTTTGATTCTGTGTTACTGTTTGAATAAAACGTTAACGGCTTTACGTTTTCCTGTTATTTTTGCTTTTCTGGCGTGTGCGGTGGTACTGTGTGTAGCTTCTGCATGCATTCTCTGATGGCCGGTGGCGTGGCCTCTCCCCGCGCACACTGGCCCCAGGTGTGTCTGAGCGCCGTGCATGCCTCCGCGCGCCGTGGCTGGTGCACGGGTTCAGTCTCTCACTGTCGCCCTCTGTGTCCGACTTGTCTCCTGCAGAGCTTTGCTAGTGGGCGGGGTACGGTCAGGGCTCGCGCTTCTGTTTCCTGACGGTCTCTGCCTTTTAATTGAAGTGTGTAGTCCTTCAGCTTTACTGTAATTATTGGTAGGGATGGGTTCAGGGCCACCGTTTCGCTCTTTGTCTTGCTTTTCTGTGTTTCTCCGCTTCTTCTAACTACCTTCGTGTTGGTTGCGTGTTCTTTAGATTTCTCTTCTAAGTTTTTATTGGCTTTTAGCTTTTACGTTCTGTTAATGGTTTAATGGCGGCTCTCAGGGTTACAGCGCTCACCCATAGCGTTAGGCTGCGCCGCCTCACAGGAAGCGCACCCACCTGTGACCAGTGGGCCACATCCCTCCCTCCCTGTGCAGCGGCCGTCCTGCACGCCGCGACTGCCTGTCTTGTGAACCCACGGGGCAGGACGGCTGTCTTTGTCTCCAGCAGTCACGTATGTTTTTTAAAAACTAAGAGGGCAAGAAGCCGTTTCCTTTTACTCAGCACTCGGCGCTCCTGGTGCTCCTCGTTCTTGCCTGAAGACCCCAGGTTCCGTCCGGCATCATCTTCCTTCAGCCTGAAGAACTTGCCTTGGGATTCCTTAAATCACTCTGCTGGCAAAGAAGTCGTTTAAATTTTCTGAAAATGTCTTCATTTTGTCTAAGTTTTAAAGGGTGTTTCTCATGTAGAAGTATGAGTTGAATTTTTATGTCCAGGACTTTAAAGACGTCCTCCTGTCACTGGGCCTCCGATGTCCTCTGTGTGACAGGTGTTGATTATTGCAATGACAGTTGACCCTTGAACGACGTGGGGGGGTGGGGCCCCGACCCACCCGAGTGTGCAGTTGGAAGTCTGAGCACAGCTTTGCAGTCAGCCCTCCACGTCCACAGTTCTGAACCCATGGATTCAACCAGCCACCGACCGTGTCGTACCACAGTGCGTGTTTACTGGAAAAAATCACGTGTGTGAGGACTCACGCGGCTCAAGCCTGTGTTGAGGGTCAGCGTAGTCTTAAGGCTTCCCTGTGTCTTTGCTTTTCAGCAGTGTGACTGTGATATACCCAGGCGGCGGCATCTTTGTCTTTATCTTGCTGGGAGTTAGTTGAGTTTATTCAGTTTTTGAACTCGTATCTTTTGCCGAATTTGGGAGATATGTTGGTCACTGTTTCTTCAAGTATTTCTCTGCTGCTTCTCTCCCTTTTCACCTGCACGCTAGACCTTTGGTTACTGTCCTGCAGGTCCCTGAGGCTCTGCACGCTTTGAAAGGTCCTTTTTACGTTCTTCAGAGAAGATAGACGCGTGCCATCGCGGTCACGAGTCTGCCTCGTCACCTCCAGCTGCCCTGGGAGGGCGTTTGGGTAATGTGTCTTCAGGCGCGGTGCTTTCAGGCCTGGGACTTTCACACTGAAAACAGTAGCTCCCGTTTTTCTGCTGAGAGCTCTCATTTTTCCACTTGGTACAAACAGGTTTCCTTGAGCGTAATTCTAAGAGCTGCCTGGGCCAGAGCTGCCACAGACGGGCGGCTCAGACAACGGAACCGACTTCCTCACGGTCGTGGAGGCTGCGGATCCAGGATCGAGGTGCCCGGGGGTTCGGCTTCTCTGGAGGCCTCACTCCTTGGCTTGCAGGCGGCTCCTTCTCGCTGTGTCCTCACATGTCTGTCCCCTGTGCACACGTGTCCCCGGTGTGTCTTCCTCTTCCCTGAGGGACACCGGTCGGGCTGGATCAGGTCCCGCCCCGCAGGCTCATTCTAACTTGGTCTGTAAGGGCTCACCGCAGATACAGAGGTGTCTTGAGGTACTGGGTGTCAGGACTTCGGGGGGTTTGATTAAGCCCGAAACAGCTGTGCCGCTCTGGCCTGCTGACTTGGCTTACCGCAGGGTGTTCTGTGCTGTTTGCTCTTCTCTCAAACATGGGTCGTGTTTTCCTGTTTCTCCACGCACCCAGTGATTTGGGGCTGTGTCCTGGACGTTGTGATGGATGCGCGCAGAGATGCTGGCTTCTGTTCTGTTCCTCTCTAGAGTGCGGAGTTTTTAAAAACGAGTAGCTAGATTGAGGGGACTGACCCCAGGCTCTGCCTCCCTGCGGTGAGTGGCAGGTGGCATCCCGCTGGGCTCCCACAGCCGAGGCCGCACTGCTTGGTGGTCTGTCCCTGCGCCTGCAGCTCAGACCCTGCACAACTGCGTGCACAAGGCAGGGCTCCCCCTGTCATCCTCTTCCTCTGGCCTGCACCCCTTCCTGCTTTCGCTCTGAAGGCCGTCCTGGGCCCTGCAAGTCATCACGGCCGTGCAGGTTTCTCTCTGTGTTGTGCGGGCGGCAGTCGGGGCCTTCGCTCACAGGAAGCCCCCCAGACCCGGCCTCGTCTCCGCCATCCCCGCCCGGCGCTGTGGCCCCGCTGGCTCCACCTGCTGTCATAGCCCTCCTGCCCGCAGGTGCTCGTGTTCGCTCCGGCCCCTCGTTGTCTGCAGGGAGCCGGTCTGGCTGGCGCGCCGGCACACCCAGCACTGTGGGGGCGCAGCCCCGCGCGCCGTCTGTGCCGGCGTTTCCGTGCTTCTCTGGGGCGGCGTGTGCGCCCTTGGCTCTCTCCCACCCGCCTGAGCTGAAGGCTGCTCTTACCGCTTCCCAGACGGAGACCTGTGCAGGCTCTTGCCCTGCTGCCGCCTCCCTGCCTTCTGTGCTGCTGTTCTCGTGGATTTTGCTTTTACGTGAGTTTGTGAATCCAGGAGGCGCTTTATAAAGTGTGTTTGTTTCCTCGCGTGTTCACCATTCCGGGTTCCTCGTTTCTTCTTGAAGTTTCGCGCTTCCATCTGGGACGACTGCTCGGCCTGAAGGCCTGCCCTTCGTGCTGTCGTCGAGTCTGCGGGCAGTGAGTCACGGCAGGTCTTCCCTTCAATTTTGAAGGGCGTTCTGGCTGCGTGTGCAGGAGTCTAGATTTTGGGGGATCATTCACTATCTTAAAAATGTCTTTATCGTCTCTTGACTTGCGTTGTCTGTTGAGAAGTCAGCTGCAGTCTCACTGAGAGTCGTTCACAAGCAACGCGTCTTTTTCCTCCAGCTTCTTTCAAATGCTTCCTTTTGTTCAATTTTCAGCACTTTGTCTGTGAGGTGCCTGGGTGTGGTTTTCCTTGTGTCCACTTTGCTGGACTTCGCTGAGCTCCTTGACTCTGTTTATTCATGTCTGTCGTCAGACTTGGGAAACTCCTGCCAACTGGCTTTTTTCCTGTGACTTGGGTCTTCCTCGCCGTCTTTCCCTCACATTCTGAGACTGCAGTTCCCTGTGTGCTAAGACTTGGATCCTGCCTCCGATGCCCCGGACCCTCCCTTGTCCCCCCGGCCTCTCTCTGTGCTCCCGTTTGTGCTCCTCTCTGCTGCCTGCCTTTGCACGCACAGCTCCTGTCCTCTGCTGTGTCCAGGCTCGCTGCTGAGCGCACCTGCTCGGTTCAGTGGCCCTCAGCTGGGCTGGAGACTGTGTGTGTGTGTTGGGGGTGGGGGGCTGGGAGATAATCACTAGCTCATTTTTCATCGTTAGGGCTGGTTTGCGTTCTCTGAGTTGGCTCTGGAGTGTCTTCATTTCACCTGTAACTTGAAGGTCGGTTTTGCTGGGTCCAGAGGCTTGAAGAGCAGGGTTCCCAGCACCTTGAGCCGCTGTTCCACTGTCTTCCGGCCGCCATTGTTTTGGACAGAAAGTCAGCTGTTGATCTTGCTGTCGGTCCTTTTATTTGACGACTTGTTTTCAAAATCCTTTCTCTTCTTTGTCTTTCAGTAATTCGACTGCGATTTTTCTAAGTGTGAACCCCTTTAAGCTTCTTAAACATATACATTAGTGCTTATCATCGAACCTGGGTGTTTTGGCCGTGGTTTCCGCAGGCGTCCTGTCTGCTCCTTCCGCCCCCTCCCACCTGGCTACCTGTGGGTTCCGTCACCTGCTCGCCCTTGTCCCTCAGGTCTTGGAGCCGCTGCGCCTGCTGTGATCTCTTCTCTCTGGTCTTCAGATCAGGTGATGCTTCTTTCCGCATCTCGCGTCTGTGCTGCGTCCCACGAGTGAGTGTCCACCTCCGTCTTTGTGAGTTTCAGCTTCAGAGCTGCTTTCGGTTGGTTTTGTTTGCTTGTTTTCAGCTTCCGTGTCTGCTGGCATTCTGCCGTCGTTGAGTTATCGTAACTGTGTTTCCCTTTAACCGTTTAAGTAGATTGGTTTTTTTTAATTTCTTTGAACATACTTGTAGTGACTGCTTTGAGCTCTTTGTTGGCTAAATTCAGCCTCTGGGCTGCTTGTCCCTGAGTGTGGGTCCCACCCCCCTTTGCTCTGGCCGGTAGGGACTCCTGTTGTTGAAAAGAGGCCTTCAGAGAGTGTACGACGGTAGCTTTGTGTTTTGGTTTTTACCTGAGGGCTGTTGCTTGTTCTGTTTATTTATTGCTTTTCTTTTAGTTGTTGAACTTTGTAACTGCCCTGGTCTTCGTCTACAGGGCGGTTGGTTTTATTCTCAAGCAAATTTCAGACATTTGTCATTAACATTTCACCCCAGATTCTCAACAGGCTTTTTTCTTAGCATAAGGATGTGTACTCCCCCCTCGCTCCTTGTTTCCGCTGCGTGTAAGTGCTGGCATGTCTTCTCTGGCAGGAAGCGTGGCCACCCTGAGAGCACTGAACCTGAGACACTGCCCTCTGGAGTTCCCCCCGCCCCTGATTGTGCAGAAGGGGCTGGGGGCCATCCTGACCTTCCTGCGGATCTGCGCGGCCGAGCACGCGTCCCCTCAGGGTTCGGCTCCTCGAGGTTGGTGGGACAGCTGTTACTGCAAACTGCGGTAAAGCTGAAGTTAGAGCTTTCTAGAACCAGGGCTCCGAGGAGCCTGTCTTCTCTCCATTAACGACCGAGCATTTCCAGGTTTTCAACATGGTGGCCAACTAGCCAGACACTTTCAAATACTCATAACATAATTGACCTTGAAAGGCATTATGGTTATACTTAAAGTAAACTAGAGCTAAAGGAGAGCTGTAATTGAACGTGCACCAGAAAGGTAAGCATTCTGAACGTCGACTTCAGAATGTCTGAACCTGTACTACTTAAGACGTAGCTCCTGCAGTGAAGGCAGCGCACACACCCGAGTCAGCCAGCCAGGCTGGTCATGTGGGCAACGCCGCGTGAGTGTGTGACCAGTGGCTGTCTTGCTAAGACGAGCAGCAGCAGCCAGCGTGATCAGGAAGTGATGATGCGTGCACTTCGTCTGGTCCTGAACCCGAGCAGGTGGCTCAGGAGTGCATCATGGGAAGAGCTGACTATGTTGTAAATGGTCTCAGCCTGTGCCCCTGAGAAACGGCTCCTGACTCAAGGGCCAGTGGTTGATGTGGGGGGAAATGCCATGGAGGCACGAGAGATGGAGGAGGGGGGCGGCACGGTTCGCCCCTGACACCGGCACTTCCTCCTGCGGGGGCTCCGAGATGCAGTGCGGCCCCGCTGGGCCTCACCTGGTCACATCCAGCCTCTCGGCGTGGCCCAGATCTGCTGAGTCGGCCCGTGCATTTCATGAGGTCCCTGTGGATTCTGTGCACAGTGGCGTCTGAGAAGGGCTGGTGCTGGGGTAGGCCCGGGGGTTGCCCCGCTTGGGTGAGGGTTCGGGCCGACACCTGCTCCAGCACCAGTGATGCTTTGTTGGTGGGGCCTCTCCTGGTGGTGAGCACGTGGTTCTCCAGCCCTGCGGACCTGCCTCCTTGTGCCAGAGAAGGTGCTCAGGGACAGAGACACGGGCGCCCGCGCACTGGGGACAGCGGAGGCCGAGGGCACGGGCCGGGTGCCAGCAGTCTGCTCCGTGCACTCGATGCACTGTTGTGAATCATGAGTTTCCTGGGTTGCTAAGGAACTCTCCTAGGCTTATGTTTATCTCTTAATTGTAGATCAGAATTTAACGTCATTACTCAGAAAGGGTGTCCAGGGACAAAGTTTCTCTCTTTCCAATTTGAGCCCAAAGCCAGAAAGGAGGTGTCGCCGTGTGACCTGTCTTGGGAATGCAGGAGGTGGGCACAGGGGAGGCACTTCCGGTCACTCTCTCGGGGTAGATCCGTGGATGGGATATTTGAGTCTGGTCCTAAAGGAAAGGACATTCCTGGCAGAGGAGCCAGCAGGTTGAGAGACTGTCCGCCGGGAACGAGCTGCCATGTTTGAGGAGGAGGCCGTGGGCCTGGGGCAGAGCCGCCCGGGGGGCCTGGCCGTGAGGTCAGGTTGCTGTTGGCAGAGGACCCTGGCCCTGGGCCGTGGCCAGGACTCGGGCGTCCCCCAGGAGGAATGGAGGCTTGGGGAGGGGACCATGCAGGGCAGGGCAGACCAGTTCACGTTTAGGTCACGCCGGCTGCTTGTTTGAAGGCATCGCCAGAGGCAGGGGCGGCAGCCGGGCTGGCGAGGAGGAGGTGGAGGGAGAGGACGGGCAGACAGAGCGCGTGCCCTTTGGAGGTGGAGCCAACAGCCTCGCCGGCAGACAGGGTGTGGGCACGGGGACGAGGACAGCCTAGGGGGGCTCACAGCTCTGACCTGAGCAGTTGAGTGGGTGCTTGAATGGAGGCGGACAGGTCCGGTACAGAACCAGGTGGCCGATCCAGGTGGTGGATGCTGGCTGTGCGTGCACCCATGCTGGCTGCCTGCCCGGAGTCCGGTGGCCCTGCAGAGCTGGGCTTGCAGTACAGACGAGGCGCTGTCGGCGGTGCACATGCCTGAAGGCGGGGCAGCAGGGGTCACCTGGAGAGCGATGTGGGTGCTCGGCCGGAGCCCGGGGCACTCGGACACTCGGAGGTGGACGGAGGAGGGAGAGCCCGCGGAGGGACGGCTGAGAGATGGGAGGCGAGGCCATGTGCGGAGGTGGGAGCGGTGGGAGCGGTGGGGGCTGTGTTGAAGTGCAGTTTATGGAGCAGGCATTTTGTTCCCTGTCGACGTCCCCAGTGACAGAGACGACCAGAGGTGAACCGTCGCCTCCCCTGGCGGCTGTGTCCCAAGAGCGTGTGCCTAACAGAGGACCCGCCGCTTCCCAGGCGCCGGTGGGAAGCGGGCGCCCAGCAGAGGCAGACTTGCTCCCCTCTGTTGAAAAGCTGGGCCTGAGTGAGCTGGGACGGTCCGCCGACTCGTTGGAAGACTGGCCGAGCGAGGAGGAAATCCAGCGTTTCTGGAAGCTGCGGCAGGAGATCGTGGAGAACGAGCAGGCGGGGGTTCGGGAGAACCAGCTGCTGCCCGTGGAGCTGCCCCCAAACCTCAAGGCCGCGCTGAGCGCCAAGGAGAAGCCACGCCCTGACCCGAGACCCGCGTTCAGGTAAAGTCTGAGCGCAAAGGTGTGTCTTCTCCATCTGGGCAAAGTTGTGCTGTTCTTGTGATGATCTTGTGAAGCATCAGGTAGACGTGCGTCCACACTGCAGTGTCTGTCACGCAGCAGGTGCCGGCCCTGGTGTAGGGTCCATGTTAGCCGAACACGGGGGCCAGGAAACAGGCTCAGAGGAAGAGATTGCACGAGAGAAAACCTCAAATCCTCTGTGTGTGTGTGTGTGTGTGTGTGTGTGTGTGGTGCACACATGTGTGGATGTATGTCAAGAGAGAACACATGTTGGTGGAGGGCGACGTCATGTCCAGGGGCACAGAACTTGGCTCTTGGGGTCTGGCAGAATCTTAGCGGTCACTCTGGCCTGTGGCCCTGCGGACGGCGTGAACACCCGTCCCGCGTGTCTGTGGTAGAACCTGCGGAGGGGCTGTGGGGAGGGGCCCATCGGAAGGCCGGGGTCGGCAGCATCGACAGCCAGATGTAGGAGCTGTGACCTGCACGAGAGGTGTTCAGGTGTTTTTTTGCACTATTGTTTCACCTGTTCCCTAGATTTGAAACATTTTCAAAGTAAAATGCTATTCAGGTGTTATGAACCGGCCGTGGCCCTAGGGGTCCTGGAGGCACACGGAGCAGGTCTCTGGCTGCCCTGGCCTGCGACGTCCCGGTGCAGGGTCCTGCCGCCTCTGTTGTGAACGGAGGTGGTAACTCATCCAAGTCAGTGCGAGCCTCCCCCCAGCTCGCAGGTTTCACCCATCCCAGGCGTAGGTCCGCCTGTGGCCTGGCCTGGGAGTGGGACGGAGGCCCTCAGATCTGACCCAGCCCTGCTCGGTGGCCCTGGACGGGGGTACCGTGGATTTCCGTGGGCGGCTACCATCCTGACTGGCAGGCAGTCCCCGGGCAGCTGGCCCAAAGCCTCGCCCCACTCGGTGTCTGCTCTCTGCCACCTGCCGTCACTGGCCTGCTCAGAGGTCCGGCTGAAGGCCTGGTGTCACTGCAGGGGGAAGAGGCCCTCCTTCAAGAGCGTCCTGCCCGACCTCGCCGCCTTGCGCCAGGCCCTGGTGCACGTCTGCCGGCTGGAGCAGAGCCGGGACGCGGCCCTCCGGGAGCTGCGGGAGAAGCAGGTGCAGACGGAGCAGCGCAGGAGGTGAGTTGGGGCCGGGGGTCTGCTCACGGCAGTGTCTGCGCCTCCTGTGGCCTCAGTCGCCTGCAGCTGCCCCGGGTCTTCCTGACGCGCCCTCGTCTCCGTCAGCCACTTGCTTACAGGTCTTTTCTATCGAAAGTTACTTAAAATTAACACTCATTAGTGGATCTCGCCCCCGCCCCGCCCCCTGGGGTCTGCTGGGGCTTTGCTGTCCTCACCATGTGCCCTGCCCTCCAGCTCCGCCGACCACGCACCTCCGCCAAGCTCTGGGCCCCAGGAGGCAAGCCGGCCTGGATGGTGCCCACAGCGCCTGGGGGCCCCTCATCTCCTGGTGGGATTTGGCCAGTGTGGGGTCCTGCAGGCAGTCAGAGGAGGGGGAGAGGGAGGGCGGGGTCTTCACTCCCCCGCCCACCCGTGAGTGCCCCCTGGGGCCGGCTGAGTCTCTGACGGTGGCAGTTGGCCGTCCCAATGCTTCTGTCTCTTGGGTGCCAGCAGCCACTCTTTCCCTCGTCCCTGAGGCCTGGGGTGGCCACTGTCCGCTATCCCAGCAGGGTCCTGCTCGGCCTCTGGGCTTCACCCCTTGTGAATAAACCTCCTGAAACCTTCCCACCTGAGTGTTCTCCTTCCAGACCCTGCAGCTCCAGGCTGTTCACGGAGCACATGTTCTGACGTCCACCGGGGCTGTCCCAACACTGGACGTGCTTTTCTAATCCGGTTCCCTTCCCTTAGAGGAAGGGTCCCTGCCCCACGAGCGGCAGGGGTGCGGCCGGCTGACAGTGAGGCTGAGATCTGAAGGTGTGGCCTGGCTGCCCCAGGTCACTCTGGTCATTGGCTGCAGGCCAACCCCCACAGTCTCCCCAGAGTGTCCCTCAGCTCCGGTCCTGGCTGCAGGGCGAGGAGGTGACCTGCCGCTCCCCTGCGGGCCCTGGTGGATGAGTCTGCAGGGCAGGGTAGGTGCACGTGCCGTGTGGTCATGGCCTGGACCCGAGGTGCGACAGCCCCACCTCTCTCTGCACCCTCAAGTCCCACTCCCTCCTCACTTCTGCCTGTTTGCCGAGGCCATTTTCTGAAACACTGCTGTGGCGCCTGCCCGCCCCCCCTCCCCGTCTCCATCCCCCGCTGCCTGGATGAGTGCATGAGCCCCACTCGCCCCCATAGCCACCTTCCCCGGCCTAGGCCAGACCCAACCCGGCGACTTGCAGGGAAGCGCAGGGCAGCGGTGCCTGGGCGGGGTGGGCATGCAGCGGGGGTGGGGAGCTGCAGGGCTGCGGGAGGCAGAGCAGAAAGTGTGCGTCCTCTCACGGTCTGAGGCCTTTGCGAAGGACAGCTCTGAAACACCAAGGGCTGTCAAGGGCCCTCTTCCTGGTGTCTCTGATGGGGACCTGAGGTGACGTTTGTGGCCTCCTTGGTGGCAGTGTGGGGGGCCCTGTCCTGTGGCCTCCCCTCTACACAACTCTGTGGACCCTCCATGCTCCCCAGTTACCTATGCGCCGTTGGCTCCCGAGACCATCCTGTGCCCCTGAAGGACCCCACCCATGCCACTCACCAGGAGGCAGCAGAGACGCAGGACCCCATGTCTGGGAGCACTGCCCACAAAGTCACGAAGTCACAGCTCCAAGTGGGAGCACCCGGGGCTCAGGAAGCAGCCTCACGGGTGCAGAGGGGGTGCCTGGCTATCCTGGGCCTCTGCCGGAAATGCCAAAACCCGTGCCTCAGCCTGGACCTGCCTCAGCACCGAGCACAGGACGGAGGCCCTCGGCTGGGAGGCATCAGAAGGAAGGAGCCCAGGAGAATCAGCGACTGTGACCCTGAGGACGGCTGGCCTGGACGCAGGCGGCTGGAGAGGCCAGGGCCTGTCTGGAGTGGTGGCCAGGGTTAGAGATGTGACAGAGGGCTCGGCTGAGTGCTGGAATCTTGTGGAAGATGCAGGAGTTGGTTCAAATGGGCAGATGGAAGCCTGGTGGCCTCCAGCACCCAGAGGACAAGGTGGGAGGGGGTGGAGCCCTGGGCCCTGCGAGGATTCCCAGGACCTCCCACCCATCCCAGAGCCGTAAGCACAGCCAGAGCAGGCGTGTGCTTTCTGTTCAGTCTAGAAGCTTCCTGGTCTTGTGGGGGGTGAGTCCCTCGGGGGTTGCTGCCGGGAGCCCAGCGGTGCGGCTGCAGGTGCCCGGGCAGGGGAGACGAGGCTCACGCTCTCGGTGAAGCTTGGGCGCCTGAGAGGAAGTGGACAGTCAGCCTCCCTCTCAGGCCGCCTGCAGACCAGTGACCACCTATAGCCTTTGATGCTGAGCGCATGGCCGAGACCCGGCCGGGCCTTCCTGGAAAGGGCCCTGGTGCCTCACCAGGCAGGGGGCTGGGGGGGCCTGGCTTGGCTTTGGCCTCCCTCGGGGAGCGCGGGACGGGCTTAGGTGTGCCTCGCTCTGCCCAGGCGTGCACTTCAGAGCCCACAGAATCCCCGAGTCTGCCCTCGGGGCGAGGGGCCAGGAGTTGGGGCTTTTGTGTGAAGCTCTCAAAACAATGATAGAAATCCTCGAAAGCTTTGCATGCAGCTGCCCTTAACGCAAACGCTAACATCATGCGTGTTCCCGCAGGGACCGGAGAGCGCTGCAGGAGTGGAGGGAGCAGACCCGGGTGATGAAGAGTAGGAGGAGGGAGCTCAGCAGGTTCCCGCCCCTGCAGAGGAACCTGGTACGTCGGGGGCCCTGCCCTGAGTGCCCCGTGTGTCCCGAGGGCTGGGGTGAGGGGTGCCAGGGTCCAGGTTCACGGATGCAGGAGGCACCCCGCCTCGCAAAGCCTGACTGCCCGCCAGCCTCTGTCATGCAGCCAGCAGGTGACCTCGGGCAGAAAACAGGCCTCCAGGGGGGCCTCCCCCAGCACCTTGCGCTCGCCCTGGCTCTGGCCACCCCACTGCAGTCTGGGTGCCCTCCCCTGGCTTCCTGGGAGCTCCCCCAGGGGGTTCAGGCCAGGCCCGGGCATCGCTGTGAAGTGAGCGTCGCTGCCCCGTGCCCTCCTGGGGCCCCCCTGACCACCTTGTTCCCCTGGGAAGCTGTCCGTGTCCTGCCTTGGCCTGCTCCTCCTGCCCTCCCCCAGACATTCCCGAGGCCTCGCCTGTCCTCACTCTGCGCCCGCTTTCCCCAAGTCGTCTCTGTCCTGGCGTCCAGGCCTCGTCTCCTCTCCAGTGGACAGTCACCACCACGCCTATCCTGGCGTGCACCCCTGCTCTCTCACGGGCAGCCTCCATGTCTGCAGCCCTGGCCCAGCAAGGCTGTCATAATGAAGTCTCCCCTCTGGGGCCCCGGGCCCTACCTGCTGCCCACCTTCTCCCTGCCACAGTGCCTGAGGCCTCGCCTGCCGTGCCCCCGTCCGTGTCTTCAGAGCAGGTGTGGGAGCTCTGGACCTCGACCTGCACGGGCTCCTCGGCCACATGTGCCTGCCAGCCAGGACTCTGCAGGCAGCCCCTTGACCCCACCAGACCCCTGCCCCGCCCACCTCAGGCCCCTGGGCTGGCCATGTGGGGCCTGCGGTTGCCAGCTGTCACTGTGCCCGACTCACCAGCCTCCTGCTCTGGGCGCTGACCATGGGTGGAAAGGCGAGGGGCTTGGGGTGGTGGGCTCAGGGCCTCCGGCGAGGGTGCCCATGTGAGGCCGGGATCTGGGCCTCAGTCCAGGCCTTGCCGCACGACCTGAGCAGACCTCCTCCGCCTTCCCCTGAGGCCCAGTCTGGGAGTCCCCTCAGCCCCTTCATGGCGGCGAGGCTGCCCCTCAGCCCGGGCACAGAGGGGCTGTTCAGGGGACCCTGGGAGACCACGGCCCCAAGGCTGCTGTGGCTCCAGAGAGGGCGTCTCCTCCTGGCCCCGCCCACTCGGGGGGCCTATGTGAACATCACGGCGACTGTGGCAGCTGCTGGGTGATGGCTGTTAAATACATGCAGCATGGAACTCACCGTCTTACCTGTCCCCGTGTGACCACTGCCGCACCCGTCTCCCACCCTGTCCCCGTGAAGCACTGACTGCTTGTCCCCCTCCCCAGCCCCGGCCCCCACTCTACCTTCCATCCCCAGATTTGACTCCTCTAGGACCTCGTGTAAATGAGGGCAGACAGCATTTGTTCCTCTCTGACCGGCCCATTTCACCGCGCATAGTGGCCTCAGATTTGTCCGTAGTGCAGCGTGTGTCACAGTTTCCTTCCTTTTTAAGGCTAAGTGACACTCCCTTGAGTGAATGGACCACATTTGCGTTTGCATCCATCCGGTCCGAGAACCCCTGGCGGTGGTGAGCCAGGCTGCCGTGCATGGGGAGGGGGCGCGGTGTTTGGTCTCACCTGGGGCGGCGCGTGGAGCTGCTTCCTTTCCCGTGAGGTTTGTTCTGCTTAGAATACGCCTGCGGTGCACGCGCAGGAGGCGGCCATTTCCATCCTGTGTGTTTTGTGGAAATGCTGCATAGAACCAGTTACCACGTTTTGTGGCGTGGAAATTGAAGGACATTTATATAACTTGGCGCAGCACAGAGCCTCTTAAGTTAAATAGGAAACTTAGAAACTCCGAAATGAAAAATGGAAAATTTTTACTTCATGAAACTGAAGGATTTCACGTGGCCTAAAAATACTATCATCAGAGTCAGAAGATAACTGGAGAACATTTGTGATGTGTGTTTGTGACAGACGGTTAACATCTAAAATATGAAGAAAAACTACAGACAGAGTTTTTACAGTAAAGAGTCCAGTGCAGAGACGGGCGGAGGGTCGGACAGGCGGTGCCCAAACAGGAAGCCCCCGAGGCGGTCAGGTCAGAAAAGAGGCTTCGAGGAACTGCCGCCGGCACCTGCCCAGGGAAGGCCGCCAGCTGGCCGGGCGTGGGAGGTGGCTCCCGTCTCTGCTGCCGGGCCTCCGCTTCTGGAAGAATGCCGATCAAAGTGAAAACACGCGTTCTTGGCACAGCTCCGGTGGCCCGTCTCGTGGGAGTGAAGCAGCCAGGTCACGGGCGCGTGCGTGTTCACGACTCACCTCAGTGGGTTTCGGTGTCGCCTGCAGAACCGGGGGCAGTAGCTGCGTCCTGAGCCCCTTGACACCTGCTTTCTGAAAAGCACTGCATTTTCCTTCTTCATGAGGCCCTGAGCCCAGCAGCTTTGCCAGTGACCTCTGAGTCCGTCTCACTGGCCTGAAGAGCATGACCGTGCGCTCGGCACTCAACACGTGGAGCTCGGGGCGGCACCGTCCTCCTCCCTCCTCCGCCTCTTGACAGTAAAATAAGATTCAATGTCTGGCTTTAAAAGGACACCTGCCGAATTTAGCGTCTGTCTTTCTCCTGTTAGAATCTGTTTAGTAGGAGAACCCTGGTCAATGGACGTGTGCCTGCCTCCAGACAGTCTGCAGACAGCTTTAATTCTGCTGCATCTGCCGCCTGGCAGCGTCCTGGGGCGGGGGGAGAGGTCAGCCGGTGGTTTCTGCTCCCACTCCTCCCCCCGCCACGCGGTGTTAAGCACCTTCTAAGACTCAAGGCTGATGACGCAGACAGACGGGTCCTGCCCTGCTGATCCACTTAACGGTGACCTGGTAGATGGTTCAGTACCCCGGCCCCCAGCCTGCTCCCCACACCCACACTTGCCCCAGCCCCCTCCATCCTGCTCTCAGTTGCCCCAGGGGTGTGCCCCTCCCTCATACGTGCAGACACACAGGCACAGGCCCCAGGCTCCCTGAGGTGGGGAGGGGTCAGCCTGGTTCCCAGACTGGTCCAGGGTCTGGTCTGGGCAGCAGTGGCGGTGCCGGTCGAGGGCCCTGCCGTGTTTCCAGTCATGTCCCTGGTGCCTGGGGTGGGAGGGGACAGAGGGCCGGGGCCACACAGGTTCCGAGGAGCCCAGGCGAGCGGACTGAGCCCCGGTCTCATAAGGACGCCCCCAGCAGAGCATGAGAGCCATGGGCCGGCCTCCGCCCTCAGCAGCAGGGCCAGTCCAGAGGGGAGCACACGGAGGTGGGAGTCTGCATAGGGGAGCCTGGAGCTCCTGCCGGACATCCAGGTGCAGCCCAGGCCCAAGGAGGGAGGAGGGGAGACGAAGGTTACAGAGAGACAACCCGGCAGACCGGGAGCTGGGGAGAGGGGGAATCTGCAGGAGATGGAGGACGGACATTGAGGCGGTAGATGAAATCCAATGAGACCCGCTCAGTCTGGGCAGGCCAGAAATAGTGAATTTTCTAGTGTTTGTAGGGCAACTTAAACATAATTTATGTAATGCTATGGAAGTTTTAAGGAATTTATCACTTTCTAAATAAGAGGTCAGTGAATTCTGACAGAGAGCATCCCAAAACACATCAGCCCCCACCCTGTCTCCCGCTGCCCCCTCCATCCACAGCCAGCCTCCCTGGCCACCTCCTCCCCCGTAGCGCCTGTCGCAGCTGCTGGGGAGGGAGGAGGAGATGTTCTGTAGTTGACACTGGGCAGTCACAGGGTGGCGGGCGTGTCTGGGACCTGCCGTCCGGAGCTCATGGGGTCCCTGGGGCCTGCCCTCACCTCTGAGGCGGGCCGGGGGGCTAGTGAGCAGACACGGCTGAGCTCTGGCTGTGTCCACGCACGCGCGGGAGGCACCTGTCTTCCCTGGGCATCACAGACGCCTTGAAAAGCCGCACTGAACTCTCTGTTGCAGACTTTCAGTTTATTTGTGCTGCTTCGCCGTGTCACTGACTGAAGCCCCGTGAGTCTCTGTTACAGGTTTTCTGACTGCGAGGCCTTCTCTCCTGCCAGGTGTTAGCGCTGACGTGTTGGCATGACTTAGTGAGGAGGTACAGTCAAGTCTGAGTGAGAGGCTCGGGCCCTGGACGGTGTGTTCGGTCTGTTGTGCTGGTACCTGGGCTGAGGCAGGAACCGCCCACTCTGCCCCGTGTCCCAAGCTCTGGCCTCGTCCCCCATCAGCTGGCCAGCCCAGGGCCCGGAGCAGGTGACAGTGTGCCCAGGCCGAGGGCTGGTGACCACAGTGTCTGGGGCACGGGGGTCTGCGTGTGCTGCACCCAGAGGTCAGAGGGGTGTCAACAGCTGTGTGTTCTTGGATACTTGACCATCTTGTTGCATTTTCCAGGTGACATCAAAAATTCCCTTTGCCACGGATCTGATGCAGAATGAGAAAACCCGTGAATTCACCTGGAAAAATGAGACAAAGCAGAGAGAGATCACTGCACGCAAATCAAGGAATGCGGTTGGTGACGCGTTCTGATTCAGTTCTGCTGGGCCCAGCCACCCCCCCCCCCCGCCCCCTCTGGTCTGAGCAGGAGGCGGCTGAGAGAGGGGACCGGACCGAGAGTGGGAAAGTCTTATTCCCTGCCCTCAGAGCTGCAACTGCAGCCTCTGTCCAGTTACCCCGTCCTGCTGTGCGCACCTGGTCCCGAGAAGCTCCCCCAACCCCGCAGCTCGGGGTCCTGGCAGGCCTTGCTTTCCCTGTGCTGACAACTCCCACCATGCTGATCCGGTGTCTGCACTCCAGTGGGGTGACCTCTGAGCTCCTGCGCCTGAGAGGGCCCCGCACCCCTCCCCACACCTCCCTTCCTGCCCCACCGCAGCGAAGTGCCCCCTGCTCCTGCCGGGGGCTGAGCCTGAGCATGGTCGGAGGGCCTGGAGCAGCCCTCGTGCTGCAACAGGTGGGTGGCAGAACCAGCCATCCCTCTTAGGCCTGGAACTCAGGAAATGCCACAGGTCTGCAGGCTGGGTTAGCCCCAGCCACGTGGGTGATTTAAACTGAGGTCCAGGGCGTTCAGATGTTCTCACCTGTCCCTATGGAGCCCACGTCGCCCTCGCGGGCCCTCAGAAAGCCCACGGCAGAGCATGTCTGTCCACGGACACCCCTGGCCCGTGGCCTGGACTTTCCTAAGGGCCACGGTCTGATCTGTGTGGAGGACACTTGTGGTCTGTCTTTCAGCCTTTATTCTCAGAGCAGAAACCCAGACAGATGTGCAGCTGTTGGAGCTGCGGTCAGGAGCCCAGTCAGAGGACACACCAGGCTCCACGTGTCCCTGACACTGGAGGCCCGGCCGCCCTTCCCGCCACACTCCCGGCTCTGAGCGAGGGCTTCCAGGGCCACTCGGAGCTCCTATTTAAAACCAAAGAATAGGGGCCCGGAGCCCGGGGGCCTGGTGCCAGCAGAGTGGGTGTGTTTGAAGCCCTGCTCAGTGCAGTGCCTGCTTTCCGTCTGAGGATTCATTAAAACTGTGTGTTTCACATGCAAAGACTCCCCTTCTCCTCGTGCGGCACAGCGTCCTCAGCGTGTAACACGGTACCTGGGCTTGGAGCGTTTAAAACAGCATCCGTGGGTCGGGTGGGGAGAGGCCGCCCGCCCGCTGGCAACGCCCTGGGACTGCGGTTTGGCCCAAAGGAGGGAGAGGAAGCTCCTCCCCCCTCTTGGGATGGGAGAGGCCCCGCGACTAGCCCATCGCCCTTGGCTTTGCCAGTGCCCCCCAGGAGGAGAGCCGGGAAGAAGAGCCGCAGCAAGCGCTCGGCCAGAGAGGCGGGTCCCGTGGGCTGGCGCCCCTCGGGGGAGTGAGGGGGGCCGCGAGGGCCTGGAGACGGCAAGTGCCTGTCAGCTCGGCTTGAAGGTGCACGGTTTTATTCAAAATTGAAGGAAACCACACCGCCAGCGGCTGCTGTGTGTGGGAAATGTGCGGGGTTACACAGCAGTGCAGAGACCGAGGAGACACCATCCTGTCCTGAGTGATGCAGTCGGCCCCCCTGCCCCCCCGAGAGTGCCCAGGCCTCCACAGGCCCTTCCGGCCGAGCCCGACGCCCCTGTGCCCTGGCTCTCACAGCTGCAGGAAGACTTGCCTGTTCTCCCCGACCACCCAGGCCCCCCGCTCACTGTCTCGCCCTGACGGTGGTGGCTCAGGGCCCCGGGTCTGCTGTGCTGGGCTGCACCGAGGCAGCCCCAGAGGCGGCAGCCTCACCCCAACAGCTCGTCAAGGGCCCCGGCACAATGTCCCCTCCCCTGGGGCCGGAGGGGTGGTGGGGGGAGCGCAGGCAGGGGCTGCTCACTTCACGGAGGCCCCACCCTGGTCAGACTCAGCCCCCTTCTCAGACGCTTTCCTTCCGGCCCAGAGTGTTTCACCTGCTTCAGGCGAACCTTTACTCTCTCCAGATCTGTTCATGGGAGTGAGCTCATTCTTGGACACCCAAAACCCTACCTCCTGGGGCTTCTGGACATCCACGTCTCAGCCCACTGCTCAGAGTGTAGACTCAGAAGTCTCTCCGGCGTCATGAACAACTCTGTGCTCACAGACCTGGTGCCCTACACGAAATGGACCAATTCCTTGAAAGACGCTACCTGCCAAAGCTCACACGAGGAGAAACGGACAATCTGAATAGACGGATGTGTGTTAAAGAAATTGAGTCAGTAACTAATAACTTCCCAGCAGGTTCGCTGGTGAAGTCTACCAGATAATTAAGGGAGTGATCATATGAACTCTCCTAAGTCTCTCCCGAAAATAGAAGCAGAGGGAACACTTGGTGGCTCATCCTGTGAGGCCAGCATCACCGTGATACCATAGCCCAGGGCGTTACACGAGAGGAAGACTCCAGAGCAGCCTCTCTCACGAACACAGATGCGGAAGTCCTCAACAAAATACGAGCAGATCAAATCCAACAACGTATGGAAAGAATTATGCACAACAAGCAAGTGGAATTTATCCCAGGCAAGCAAGGCTGGCTCGCACTTGAAAACCAGTTTAATAAAGCATTACATCAACAGGCTGAAGAAGAGCAACTGTGCGGCTGTATCAGTAGAGGAAGGAAGAGCAGTTATCAAAGCCCGAGACAAAAGCTGTCAGCAAACCAGGGACAGCGAGGTGCCTCCTCAGCCTGAAGAGCGTCCGCAGAGACTCACACTAACGTCGCACTGAGTGGTGAGAGGCCAGAAGCTTTTCTGTAAGGTCAGGTGCGAGAGGAGGAGTCCACTCCCACTGCTGCTCCTCAGCATCGTGCTGGACATCTTGGCTGACGCAACAAGAAAGGGAAAGTAAATACAAATCAAGAAGATGGAGATACAGCTTTGTTTTAAATGACACGATTGTCTGTATAGAAAGTCCCAACAAATCGACCAAAAAAAAATCCTGGAACTGATAAGCAGTTGCAGAAGGCAGCAAGACACAGGGTTCACCTGGAGAGGTCCATCACCTCCCACGTGCCAGCGATGGACAGGTGGCATGTCAGCACTGAAAAAACGGTACAAGG